AAAATTAAAAGTAATTATTATTTTTTCCCATAATAGATTTTAACCGTATAAATAATTTAATGCACTACTTTTTATAGATATCGTCGTAAGTAACAAAAGGTGTAGTTCACATAATTAAGTGAAGCAAAGCAACTTCAGGTAATTAAGAAAATAACCAACTCCTATTGCATCACCCATCAATCTATCGTTATATTAATTTGATAAGACTAGTATATCACCCGTGTGATGCACTGTAGTCACCTTCGAGAACAAAACTGCTATTCAATAATTAGGGTCCTTATAGGAAGAATAGAATTGAAGAAAGAAAGAAATAATACGTAATAGAACCCCCATTATGCTATGGGTTGATTTACGTGGAATATATAGAGAAATAATACGAGGTAATAGAGTTTCACTAGGTAACTAAATCCTAACTAATCTAGGTAACTGAATCATAATAGAATCATAATATTACAAGAGTTCTTATAATATAATATACTCTAATACGCTCTCGCAGTCGAAACGTGACGAACGTGAAGACTGGACAATTCATTGCTAACATGCTCCCGCAGTCGGAACGAATAAACTCCAAACCTGAAGACTGAACAAAAAAAACCCGTGAAATCCAGCAGTAGTGAAATCCTTGGTGAAATTATCTGCCAAATTAATAGAAAGAAGAACATAACATGGAGAGAAAATAATTTTTTTTAAATTTTTTTTTTGTGAATCGGGAGAGAGAAGATATGAGAGGGGAAGAAGAATAATTAAAAGAAGGATAGATTAAAGAGACAGAAAAGAGATTAATCGACTAAGAAAGAAGAAGAACATGATATCGGAAAATAATATAGGTTGGAAGAAAAGAGTACTACCACCGCTGGGGGAGGGAGAAAATAGGGTGGTGTTCATGGATCTGATAGAAAAATATGTCGGAAAAGATAGAAAAGATGCACCACCGGGGGGGGAACGAGAGAATTCGGGTGGTGTTCATGGAAAAGATAGAAAAAAAAATATTAGAGTACCACCACCGGGGGAGGGAGAAAATTGGGTGTCACCGCCATGGAGAAGAAAGACGGCTAGGTTAAAAAACCTGGTGCTCTGATACCATATAGGAAGAATCGAATTGGAGAAGGAGAGAAATAATACATAATAGAAACCCCCATTATATTATGGGTTGATTTACATGGAATATATATAGACAAATATTGCAAGGAAATAGAGTTTCACTAGGTAACTAAATCATAACTGATCTAGGTAACTGAATCATAATAGAATCATAATATTACAAGAGTTCTTATAATACAATATACTCTAATAGTCGTAAAAAAAAATATTTCAAAATAAATATAAAACTAATATAAGTTAAGATGTTGGATAAACAAAAAAATCGATACCAAAGCAATATATATATATATATATATATATATATATATATATTTTTTTTTGTTTTTTGATAAACCTAATGCCCGTTCGACATGTCTTCTAGACGAAAATGCTATAACTAACTAAATTAATGGAACCAAACACACTGCACCATCTTGTAGGTCCGCATAAATCAAAAATTACATAGAAGTTAACCTGTAAAGTTTACGTATTTTGCATGAATTCAGTTCAATTCATTACTGAAACAACAATTACAATAATCATGTGTAATTAAACAATATTTACATCATAGTACTTACCAAAAGCGTCTGCAGCGAATATGCTAGAAATAAAAAATCACGTGCAAATATACCTAAACAGAAAGAGCACATACACACATTAATAAGACAAAATATAGTTATAGTAAGATAAATAGTCGATGGCATGCATGATCTATACCTTCATATACGCTGAAATACTTCTTTATACACCACGTTGCTAGTAGAACTCAACAATCCACCGGATTCGAACTTGATTAGAATCTTTATGCCAGATTTACTCTTGACTCTCGAGAGTTCAACGTACAACTGACCGTGGTTGAATACAAGCCTGGGTAGATACAAATCAACGTGGGAAAGTGTTTGACCCTGACTCTTGATGGTCATTGCGAAGGAAACCATCAATGGAAATTGTCGCCTCTGGAACTTAATAGGCAAAGGAGAGTATTACCTAAAGTGGTTTTCTCTAATTACTTTTTGAAGGGGAATTTTCCGTAACTGTATTTCCTAGATGTAGGGTTCTTACTAATTTTCCCTTATGTATAATTATGTGCATATCTACACTATAAAATTATACGTACCCCTCTGTTTTTGTGGGTGAATTGCAAAAGCACCCCATGACAAGATAACTTATTTAAAAACGGGACATTCGATTTTTTTGTCTTCCAAATATATTCACTTGTCAACTCTTATATATGCAACGAAGGAAAACTCTCTTTTAAGATCCATTAGAATAAATGCCAAAATTAGAATAAGATCCATTAGCTTTTTGTGGGACCAATAAACTGAGTAACGAAATCAAGATCTGGATCACCAACTTAATATTAATTCCCAACCAATTGTAGAACGGGTGTAGCTCAACTGGTTTCGGAGGTGGTAAGTTGGTGCAAGGTCCTAGGATTGAATCCTGGCAGCCGCAGTGTGGAAATTTCAACTCCAATGAGGTTTGGTTCCTTGTGGGCACCAGGTCCGGTCCGCTACCTTAACGGACCGTTGAGTTACCATGATTTACATTCCTCCATCAATCCTTATCGGGCCAAGGGATGGGGGCCCTGGGGGCGAAGGATTTCGCCTTTTGGTGCAAGCTTAGCTCCCAAAACCAAAAAAAAAAAAAAAGGATGAGTTATATATATTAGCATTTTTTTCAGTCTCAATTTTGTTAATGTCTATTTTCCGGCACATCAAATTCTTACAAGGAAGAGCTCCTCCATTGCCACCAGGGCCACGTGGACTTCCGCTCCTCAGATATTTGCCATTTCTAATTGGTAAAAACTTTGTAAATGAGTTCACTTTTTTGGGGCATAAATACGGTCCAATCTTTAAGCTCTATCTCGGTAACAAACTATGCGTTGTGATCAGTTCGCCATCTCTTGTGAAAGAGGTGGTCCGTGAAAAAGACGGCGTTTTCCCGCATCGGGATACTCCAATTGCAGCACTAATTGCATCTTACGGTGGAAACGACATTGTGTTTTCGGAGCCGAATTCACATTGAAGAGCGATGAGAAATATATATGTTCAAGAAATGATGAGCAAGAAATGTCTCGAGGAATCCAATGTTCTTCGTAAAGACGAGGTTAGAAAGGCAATCAGACAGGTCCACAACGCATTGGAAAGCCGGTTCAAATTGGTTACATGGCTTCCCGAACCGGACATCACGTCATAATGAATATCTTGTGGGGTGGAACAATTACTGGGGAAGGAAGCAAAATATTCAAAACGGAGTTTTGTGTTGTCCTCTCTAATTCGCTTATTGATTTGATGGGAAAACCGAATATTTCCGATTTTTTCCCACTTCTTGCAGGTCTTGACATCCAAGGAGTAAAGAAATAAGAGGAGACTTATATGCAATCGGTACGGTGGACATGATTTTTGAATCCGTTATTGCTCAACGTAAGAAGACGTTATGCGGAGAAGTTATGTGCAAGAAAGAAGGAAAGAAGGATTTTCTCCCAAATCCTTTTAGAGATTCAAAAGAAACAAGATTCGGAGATGCCAATTAGTCAGAAACAAATCAAGGCCATGTTACATGTAATTACTTATTTTATGAATTTGATGAGTTACATTAATTCGACTACTTGTACCAACTTACCAACCCCGAAACCAGTTGAACTACCCATGTGAACTATTGATTTGATTACTAGACTTATAAATAATTGAGCATTGTTTATTGAATTATAATAGGATGTTGTGTCTGGTGGGACCGACACTACAGCGACAAATATTGAGTGGGCAATGGCCGAGCTTATGAACAATCCGGAGGTCATGAGAAAGGCGCAAAAGGAATTATGTGACGTCGTCGGATTAAATAACATGGTCGAAGAATTACATATTCCAAAATTGAAATATTTGGAAGCAGTTATCAAAGAAACAATGCGGTTACATCTGCCTGGACCCCTCTTGCTTCCAAAGTACCCGGCTTGTACTACAGTTATCCCCAAGAATACAACGGTTTTTATAAATATGTGTTCGATCCATATAGATCCTTTAATTTGGGATAATCCAATGGAATTCAAGCCAGGGAGATTTCTTGATGGCGATATTGGAAAATGCGATTATAGAGGTTAACATTTTCATTATCTCCCGTTTGGATCGGGGAGAAGGATTTGTGCCGGCATACCCCTTGCGGAGAAAATGTTATTCTATTTTCTAGCTTCACTTTTACATTCTTTCGATTGGAAAATAGAACAGGGGGAAACACTTGATATGTCCGAGACATTTGGATTGCGTTGAGGAAAACTACACCATTGTTTGGTAACCGAGTCCCAGATTGACAGATTCAAGAGAGGCTGTCGCCTCGGGCCCCTCGATTTTTTGAAATAAATAGGGGCCCCAAATGATATTTTGTATTATTTATATATACTAGTCACTGATACTTCAAATATATAAATAGTTCCACAATTTGAATAATCATAAGTATATAATTTCACATAGTTGAAGTATTTGTTGGAAATTTTCATGTATTGTTGTATTTGATGTGAATGAAATATCTTAGAACAATTATTATATCAGCTAGACAGTGAATTCTTCTATCAATTTTCTTTTATCGATTTTAAGATATTAAACTGTTTGGTTCGTGCATTATTAATAATCTATATTGTCTAACTCTAACTTCAAAAGGTTTCGGGATTTTAAGATTTTCAACTTTTTTGTTCTCGCATTATTAATGATCTATATGGTCTAACTCTAACTTCAAAAGGTTTCGGCAAGTTGAAATGTACTATATCTTATTTTATTATATTTAAAGAAATTTACAAATATTTACTTCTTCAATAGTATGTCTAGGACTATCTTCAAAAAAGACTTCAGGGCTTTGCCTCAATCCTCGTAAACTTCTGATTTACCTTAACTTTGTCAATATTGTTAGTCTATTTTCCCCCAAAATTCTTAACTTCTAATAAAAAAATTATGGCCGAGTCATGCTTCCTAATGAATGATGTGTATATTATTATACAATACAAATCTGGGACCATCTCATAAATTCTTAAAACTCGTCTATGGCCCCCATCCTCTTAGGAATGACCCTGCAAGTCTTGTATATTGTTAGTAAAGAATAA